CACACAAAATGCTGGCACCTATAAGAAGTTAAGAAATACAACCAAGATGACTCAGACAGTCTCAGGGGGATTTTATTTTGTGTATGGGACTTAAAATTCATAAATCCTCTATTAGTTCTGCGGAATCGGCAGCGTTTGGCTACCTCTTTGACCAATACTTGTTAAATGTCATGATTCCAGGGAGTGAGGAGGGGTCGCTTTATGCCTCCCGCACTTCTCTCCTGCAGAAGTATGTTTAACTTGCAGGTCATTCGGTAAAAGATCGGACTTCTCTGGGCATTATTTGGTTCTGAATCATTATTTAGGATCTCTTTACTGACCCGAACTCCAACTTCTAATCTTATTGTGGTTCTTTCTAAATTGATACAGGTCTGTCCTGGCGGGTGAAGCAGAAAGAATACTGCCTACATGTGAGAAGATTCATAGCAGGCTGCGATGATGGGGGCATTTCAGGATCCAGACGAGGGGGCGGGTAGAACGCGATGTCTCCCGGAACCTTGATGCCAAGGGGGTCGGGGAGAGACCCCAGAAGGAAGTAGAAGTGCGGCGCGGACTGCCGCTGACAGACCTTGGCACAGCCCAGAGCCCCTCTCCACCCGTGGGGAGTTAGCGCGTGTGTGCGCGAGAGCTGCGGGCGGCGGCAGGAGGAGGCGCAGGCGCGCTGCTCGCCCGTCTGCAGCCCCGCGCCGAGCGCCGCGTCTCGGGAGTTGATGGCAGCACCACAGTGCGGACGCCTGGCCGATCGCGGAGCGCAGCCATCCGCCGCTGCCCAGGGAGCGCCCAAGATGTGGGGGGACTGGGGTGGAAGCGGCTGTAGCAGCTCCAGAGACGGGGGCGCGCAGCAGCATTTGCTCGCCCGCCTGTCCTGACCTGCGTCGCTTGCCCCCAAAGAATGTCAGCCAAGTCCAAGGGGAACCCCTCCTCGTCCTCTCCAGCCGAGGGACAGCCGGCAGCCTCCAAAACCAAGGTGAAGGAACAAATCAAGATCATCGTGGAGGATCTGGAATTAGTCCTGGGCGACCTGAAGGACGTGGCCAAAGAACTTAAGGAGGTGAGAGGGTCCGGGTGGGGAGCGAGTTCGCCGCCTAGATCCCCTCGGGGTTCTGGGTCCCATTTTTGCTTGGGACCTCCTGATTTCCAAACTCCTAGGTAACTACAGAAATCTGCCTGCAGACGGACTTTCTCTGCTTCGGCGACTCTCAAGAAGAGTTGTTGTTGCACTTTTTTTTTTTTTTTTTTTTAATCAGGAAGAAAATCAACTAGTGTTTTAATCGATGGACCTGGAATGGTGGGAGGATAAACGCAAGAGCGTATCTCTGTATGTGAGTGTGTGTAGAGTCGGAGGAAGGGGTTAACTGGGGGTGTGTCAGCAGAAGAAGGCATGAGCAACCCGGCCAGAGCGTGCAAGATGCCCCCTCTTCTGCTGTCGTGCTCTTCCAGAGTCCCTTGGCACGTCTGTTCCCCGCCTGGCAGCCTCCCTAAGCCGGGGCTGAAGGGGGGCCGGGCTCTGGGCCCTGGGCCAAGCCGGGGAGGGCAGTGTGGGGGAAACTTGGCTTTGGCTCTCCTCCCCTCCTCACAGAGCCCCGCTAGAAAGAAAGCGATCGGGGCCACTATCAGGAGAATCCAGCTTTGGGGATATGAAGGGATCTGGGACGTTCTCACTTTCATAATTCCTTAAGAATGGCTTGCTGTCTGTGAATGTCACTCACACAGTAACTCCGGGCCTTCTCGCCATCCCATCTGTCCTTCCTTACCTCCTTCCTTTCATCCTGTCGCCACTAGGCATTGAACCTGGGGAATGGGGCGCGCGAGCAAGTGTGTGTGTGTGTGTGTGTGTGTGTGTGTGTGTGTGTGTGTGTG